GTCACGAACAAAAAACTTGAGAAAAAGATATTTTTTTTAATGAAAGCAATAATAATAATAAAAATAACAGTTATAATAATCCTTCGCGTCTCTACACAAAGACACACACACACCACATAGATATACAGGCACACACACAGACACTACACAGATATACAGACACACACACACTACACAGATATACAGGCACACACACACACACACACACACACTTCACAGATATACAGGCACACACGCAAATATACACAATAAAGTAAATAAATTTAATTAAGCAAGCTCCCTGAATGCTCAATTATTGACGTCTCAGCGGTGAATAACCTCACCCTCCCACCCTTCTCTCCGAAAAGTCACGATATTATTATTCGACTTGTTGACCCTTCACAGTAAAGAGTTTAAATATTTTGAATCCTTATCCATTTTTTTTTAATAAAAGATTAATTGCCTTTTCTGAAAGTCTATTTAACGAAAATATTTGTTGTTCATGTTTTCAATGAAATTAATTTTAATGAAAATAATGCACGCACGCATACACATTGAACCAACAACACATATATTTATATATATGTGCGACTCGAATGGGAGAGAATCAGTGCGTGTCATTTCTCAGAGATATTCAAGTATTCAGTGAATAATATATATATATATATATATATATATATATATATATATATATATATATATACTAGCAGTAGAGCCCGGCGTTGCCCGGGGATGTAACAGTAAGAGATAGATCAAGCATCGACCATCATAAAGACTGAAAATTAAAATTGACAAAGATTATTGTTTAAGGTTGACGGACACACATGTCTTAATTATTTTTTTTTAATTTTTTTGCGAATTGGTCAAACCCAAACTGAAACAAAAACCTTGGTTTCAATCGTTATGAGTCTATCGATTGAATAGAATTTTATTATAAACAATTGTCTTGTAAATGGATTTTTTAAAGCATTCTGAATGTAAAAATAAAGAAAAAAGTGTGCAAGACAATAAGAAACACTACCTGCCAAAAAAAAAAGTGAAGTTTTGTTGAAATCGGTTGAAAAATGTAGGAAATCCGATCCCATATATAAACGAACACACACAGACACAAACAACCTGGGTTTTATAATAAGTATAACTCGATATGAGTTCTTCCCCTTTCATTCTGGCGACAAAATCATGTTTTATCGTGTTTTTAAATTGATTTCGTGCAAAAACAATTGTGTTTTCCAATTTTTGGCGCTGTCAGAACCACCAAAAGGTAATTTTACGCAGTACTGTGAAGTTTTTGTTGAAATCGGTTGAAAAATGTAGGAAATCCGATCAATATATAAACGAACAGACACACACACACAAATCTGCGTTTTATAATATATATATATATATATATATATATATATATATATATATATATATATATATATATATTAAGCGTTTCACCCAAAGCAAGGCGAAGCCACTATCATACAAAGGGTTACAGAGAGTTGGAGCGAGAACAAAGAGGAGTGATAGAGGAAAGGATGAAGAGAAGGATAGGGGATAGATCAAGGCATCTGGAGACGTCGATTGACATTACATTTGAATAGTTGGAGAGTATAGCTATCAGGGAAACAAGAAAAGGGAAGGGAGTTCCACAGGAGAGAGGTGCGAGACATAAAGCTATTGGAGTAGAAGAGACGGCTACATTTAACAGTTTTGACACTGAAATGGTGAGAGCGAGATGTCAGCTTAGTTGAATGCTTAAATTCATGAAGTCTGGAAACCAGCGAAAGCAGCTCATCGCAGCAGTTACCATGAAATTATTTGTATAAAAAGACAGAGGGAGGCGACGGCACGTCTGTGAGAGAGCGACTGCAGACGAGATGCCAGTATATATATAATAGTTTAGTTAATAAAATTAATATATATATATATATATATATATATATATATATATATATATAATAGGTTAGTTATTAGGACGAGGACAAACGAAAGGGTACCAATATAATCAGTACGATAAACATTTATTAAATATTAATTATTAACCATATGAAAGAAATAAAGCACGGAAAGAAAGGTTTTAAGTCCGGAATTTTCGGACACGCCTGTGTCCTTCTTCAACGGCGCGAGAAATAAAGATGATTTTGTAGACGCTGTATTTTTCTGGTGGAAATTATATCGTTAGCAGAAAACCGATCTCTGTCTGATTCTTCGGTGTGCGAAAATTTTCATGAAAATAAACTTAAATTTAAAATTTTTGCCCGGTGTAAATGCGATTATTACTAGTTGAATTATATATATATATATATATATATATATATATATATATATATATATATATATATATATATATATATCGGTGTAACAACAAAATTGTCCAAATCGTGTAATAGCAAATTGTACAATTGTTAGATGAAGCTTTTGAACCGTTGTATCTTAGAAATGATTAAAGATATCTTATTGGAATTCTCCAAGGTTTTATGACACTGTTGGACTCTACTTTGAATAATAAGAATGTATAATTGCTTTCTAAGCGTAACAAAAGAATCGTGATGAAATAGATCATAAACGAAAATGACATGTTCATCATTAATTAATCATAGCTAAGGTTCGGAAACTCATGAAGGATTGAAATAAATTTAAAATATAAATATATTATTCCAGGATCATATTCCAACTTATTCAAGATGGTCTTCGCCCTCTCTATCTTTCTAAGTTTCTGTCCTGGAATAACAAGATGCCTCAAGTTTCACGTACGATTTCATTTTCAGGTCTTTTTTCACTGCTCTTTGGACTGTCGAACGTGTTATGGATAGAGTTGGATCTTTTCTAATTGATCTCTTTATCTCTAAGTTGAAATGATGATCCCTCTTCCCGTTGTGACCTCCTGATCCAGTTTTCCTCTCTACTTTTCCCACTTTTTAAACTTATTCACCGTTCTCTGGATGATTCTTGACTTTCACACACAAGATAAATTGCTGCAAAATCAAATTACTTCTACTATGTGCTGTGCCTCTTCAGGGCCTGGGTGATCTTGCCGTTTGTATCCCATAGCAGATTTTTTTTTTTTAATGCTATCTCTCCTAATCCCTGTTCGGCCAACCATTTACACAAATTCGTTAAGTACGTTATTCTCCACTTTCCTCTGACCGTCTTGTCTTGTACTTAACCCTGTAAGTGTTCAATTTTCTAAGCCCCCTTTTTTCCTCATTATGTCCCCTAAAAATTTCAACTCTCTATTTCTGAGGTTAAGTATAACTGTCCTTTATGTTTCCATTTTATCTAAAATCTTATTTGTTGCTCACATGTTCAGTCCATGGTATTCTCAGCATCCTCCTGTAAAACCATATTTCTGCCGCAAGTCTGTTCTTCACCTGCGAGGAAAATGTCCAGCATCCATAAAGGAGGATAGACGTTACGTAATAGTCCAGTAAACGTTTCTTTGTTTCTAACAAAATGTTCCTGCTTCTTAATACTTAAATCACTCCGTCAGTTAAGTGCCATACGCTTGGGCGGTCATGTCTCTTTCGATTCATGACTGACTAGGCAGGAGATATTCCCGCAGTAGGCTGCCGTTTCTTTCTGCAATAGACTAGTTGCCAACAAAGGCTATGAAACCCAGTCTGCCCTGCTATTCATTTCATATCTGTGGGGAGAAGAGATGGATTCATAACTTCCTCAAGGGTATTTGCGCGTAAGTAAATAAAACTAACCCGACTTGATTTCGAACTCGGCTCTCGGATTTCCCATTCCAAGCTGATATCCATTTACACCACAAGGTAAAGTAGGAATACTTAAAGACTGACCTGAAAACTCGAGTCATGTTCTTAAATAGCCTCGTCAGATCTAGACTCTCATGCGGATGTCACGCGTGTCATCCAGTTTGTTCAGAAATATATCAACTATTATCTGTATAGAACTGTTTGTTTTTTCAATTAAAATGGCTTCGAGGAGATAAATCCTTTAAGGCTTAAAAAGACGATTCCTCATCAGACCATCTAGATTAGCGTTACAAAATCACTAACAAAGTTTTATATGCAAATATTAAAAGCCATGCTCCTTGGAGATTTCCAACAGCAGCGAAAACAAAAATGCCTGACACATGTGACTCGAAGAGAAAATAATCAAAATTTTAAATTTCTACAAAAAAAAAAAAAATATCCGAAAGAACACCTATAAATATTCGAAATAATTATTGTCATGGGTCCTTATTTATAACTGCAGAATGAACTCTTCCTAACACTATGTATACTACGCCTCACAAGAGAGAGGGTCGAATCGAGCCGAGCTTCTCGGCTTGACGGTCGAACTCTCTGCCTCTGAGCAGAGAGGAACCCGGACGAGGCTCCGCCGAAGGGCAGGGTCTCGTTCGGGGTGGTTGACCAATCCGATCCCGTTTATACGGGTTCTACGGGCATTTTTTGGCCGAGCCTACGGGCTCGGGAAACCCACGTTAAACTCGGCCTTGTGACACATGCAACCCTCGTGTGGGAGTGGCTAGATACCGAATCGAGTCGAGCCGATAGTAGTTCACTCCAAACCAGACTGACAGTCATACTAACACCTTCCACATCTTGTATTATTATTTCGTGTAATATAGCTTCGTTATTTCTACTCTTGTGTTCGTGTTGTTCTTCCTTGGTACTAACCTGGACCATAACAATTATGACATTTAACAGACTTGAAAAAGTCACTGATATTCAGAGAACTTAAAACGATTACTTGGTTACTTATTTTAGTGCATCATTTTACTTACAATTATTGCCACGTGGCGCAAACAATAGTCAGTACATTTGTCTGAACAAATTAGCCGTAAAATAATTAACAATGCTTTTTTAAAGACATCTGTTACTTGTTGCCAACTGAAACTGTTTTTACCTTTATATAAGTAGCGAAGTAATCGTTCTAAGTAAAGCGGATAATCAAAATAAGTGCTGCAGAATTTATTGCGTCCATTTTTGTTTAATATATCTTTCGTTTGTTTTAGTTGTTTTTTTTTATTTATTGTGGCTCCCAGAACATCAGCCATTATTTGCGATATGTATAATGGTAAGATTGTAAGAGGTATATGTAGGAGGTATTTCTCCCGCAACCTTCATTATTATCGACTAAGACGGTCTTTGCATTTATATAAGTAGCGAAGTAATCGTTCTAAGTAACATAGTTAATCGAAATAAGTACTACGTAATCCGTTGCGCTTGAGAAAACCGGAACTCCCGAAAAAATGTTTTAAGATTTTATAAATTTCAACCGACAGTATGGCTGACCGTTCGGTTAATGAATACCGAACGTTTCTTCTATGGAAACGGTTAAAACTCACCTTTAACATAATCATTCATGGTAATGGTAATGGTAATATCAATCGTTTCCATGTTAATGGTAATATTAGCCGATTCCTTATGTGAAAGCATTCGGTATTCATTAGCCAAGCAGCTAGTGATACCGTCGTTTGAAATTTATAAAAATCTTTCTCTTAATTTTTCAGAATAGGTTTCTCGAGTCCAGTAGCTATTATACATCTTTCCGGGGTTTTCTTTCTCACCTTTTGTTTAATGTCGTGTAGAAAGCCAACATCTTGATTATTCTCTTATTTTTCGTCGTTTTTTTTTTATTGTTTATGGGATTTTTTTCCTGTTATTGATAAATATTTGCCAGATTTCTCGCGTTTTCTTTTTGTATTGGTTGGTGATATGTTATTTAATTGAAGTGTTATAAGATAAACGACAATTCAATCGCCGCGATAATGTAGTGGCTTTGTAACCAATGTATGTACTTTGTAATCAATATATGTACGTCAAATTATTATTATTATTATTATTATTATAGAGACATTCACCAAGGAATCAAGCGAATTCATAGTCAATATTAGTTAATTAGTGTGTGTGTATGTGTGCGTATGTATCTCAGTTTCCATAAAACTGTAAGAACATTAGAAAAACTGAACAAAGCAATTAGAAAGTTTCTTTGTTCGTCATA